CCTGTGCCACCAGCATGGTGTCAACATCCCCTTCGGCCACCCTGAGCTTTTAGCCTGCTAGAAGCTTGGCTGTGGAGTGAAAGCAAGGCCTACAGTGGTGCAGAACTATTGGTCCAAGCTGGTGTTATTTAGCATGGGGCAAGCATCCCAGGAACAGAACAGGACCTCCTCTTAGCACTTGGGCTTAGCTGATGTCACCTGTCATGGTGACTTGTGAACTTGAGTGGCTGTGGTAGGAGTGGAGTAGGTTAAAGGTCCCCTCAGTCTGCTCCAACCCTACCTGTGATCAAAGGAAGTCCAGTAAACTGAGGCATTTCTGTCCACCCCTCCCCCACCTTCATTTTGTCTCTTTCTTTTTCTGTGTCTTGGGGAAACATCCCTGAGGATGAGTCACAGGTCAAGCATCTATAAATAGTACTGTCCTTAAAAAAACAAGGGATTCTGGCATTATAGGGACAGATATGTGTTGTTTTGAGGGACTGTGTATGTTCAGGGGAGTTTGTGGCCTTCTTAATGTAGACACTTAAAGTTAGCCAGCATGTGGATGCTTTCATTTTCAAGCTACCAATGTGTTCCACTTAGTGTGTGGCTAAGTACCCATGGCTGTGGCCTACAGAGGAAGCAGGCCAATCCAGATGCCAGAGCCTCATTGTCAGCAAACCAGAGCTGTCACAGATCTCCCATCCCAGCCAAAGTTAGAGGCTGTACACCCTGCATACTCAGCCACTTCCTCTTTCTGAGCTAAGCATGGCTTCCAGTTGGCCTGGGGCAGATGGCATGCTGACATCTTCAGGCCTCCAACCGTCAGGAACTTTATGCAAGACTCCAGCAGAATTGTCACTGCGCATCTCCTGGTCTGACCCTGGAGAGAATATCTACTCGGCAGCCAATCTTCTGATTCTAGGTTCCTGGGCTCTTGCCTTACAAAGAAAGAGCTGCTTCCTCTGTGCAGGGTGTGTCCAAAACACAGGGTTCTAGGGCTGGAATGTGAACCTTGTCCCAACAGGCCTTCCTCCAGAAGCGAAGGAGCAGGGCTGGCTGCTGGATTCCCATGTCCAGCAGTGAGACCTCCCCCACTGGGCTCTTCTACTACTATGCATGGTACTGCTGGAGGTGTGGAGAGCAGACTCCAGCCTAGGTCTCTGAGGATAATTCTCAGATGCACATGGCCAAGATGGTTTCTCAAGAGAACAGCTAACTCTCACATCACTGAAGGTGAGGGATCAGGATGTCATATATGAAGCTATCCTGAAGGGCTTGGGAGGCTGCCGTAATTCCTGCCATCAAAGCCTTTTAACAGCCATGTCTGGTGGCTAGATACCGAGCTATTTCAGAGAGAAGCCACTACCCTCCCTGACACCCCTGCTCCAAGTGTCTGCAGCCTTCTCAGGGAGCAGGAAACAGCAAGCAGCAGAAGATGGCTCTGGTTGTACTTCTGCCTTCCAGATCTCTCCAGTTCATCTGCTGGTAGATCAGCACATCTAGACCATTGGATGCAAGGGAAACTTAGAAACGTGGCCACTGCAATTCAGTGAGTATAAGATATATATGGCTACATAACCCATCATACAAAGAGGTAGAAAGAAATACTGAGCATTTAGAATAAATCCCCCACAGATTTGTAGCTGGGCCTGATTGAATTATTTTCATATTTTGATTTGTAATATTTATTTTTTGTGTGAATTTCACATAGAAGTACAAAAGTGCACAATTTCCCCTTCGTTTCCTCCACCTCTTCCAACTCCTTCTCTTCCTTCAGATCCTCTTGTTTTCCCATACTCCTTCTCAAATTCATGGCCTCTTATTCTTTTTTCAAAAGACTTATTTATATGATATATAGTAAGTGCTTTGTCTGCATGTACATCTACACACCGGAAGAGTACATCAGATCCCATTATAAGCAGTTGTGAGCCACCATTTTAGTGCTGGGAATTGAACTCAGGACCTCTTGAAGAGCAACCAGTGCCCCTAACGACTGAGCCATCTCTTCAGCCCCGGCCTCTTAATCTTTATTATTGCTATATACATACATATACATTTATAAGCAAACCTGCTGAGTTTGTTTAGTGTTGCTCATATGTATTTAGGGCTAACCTCTTTGGGACTGGATAGCCTATCCAGGGCTCATCCCTGGAGAAGACTCCTTCTGTCTCTCTTAGCAACCATTAATTGCTTGTAGTTCCTCATCTAGGGGTGGTGCCTTGGGAGAACTCCCCCATCCATGTTGTCAACAGGTGGTGTCATTTTTCAGGTCTTGTTTAGGCAACCCTATTGTTGCAGTTTCCTGGGTGTCACTTTCCCGTCTTATAAAAGACACTGTTGCCAGGAGGTGGTGGTGTACGCCTTTGATCCCAGAATTTGGGAGACAGAGGCAGGTGGATCTCTTGAGTTCAAGGCCAGCCTGATCTATAGAATGAGTTCCAGGACAGCCAGGACTACACAGAGAAACCCTGTCTGGAAAAACCAAAACCAACCAAACAACAAAACAGAATCTAAAAAACAACTCTCCCCCAGCAGATGTCTTGGTCCTCTGGTTCTTAAAATCTTTCTGTCCCTCTACCTCCATGTTTTGTGAGTGTTAGGTATAGGGGTTGTGTTGTGGATATGTCAGGTGGGGTTGGATACCTCATGTTGGTTGTTCTTTGCAATTTGACAAGCTGTGGTTTTCTGTAAAGGTCTCCATTAGTTTCAAATAGAAACTTCTTTGATGAGAAGCAAGAGCTGCACAGTGTAGGGCCCTGCATGGACCCCCCCCCAGGCACCTTGAACAAGCCTGAAGCTGTTGACCATTTACTCCCCAGAGTTGTTGCTGCTACTCATCTGTTTTGCTGACACACATCTGCTGGGGAGGAGCTAAGCCTGTTGTTTTCCACTATGCTGTGAGTCAGTATATAAGCCCACTCCATCCCGATAAACGGCATTAGGCATTGTGACATTGCTGTTGAATGAATGGCCCTCTGTCTTGTCTCTTATTTCAATCTCTAGGCCTTTGCCCAATTCGTGGAGCAGTACTGAATTTTTAAAGAAAAATTTAAAATCTTCTGACTCTGAGGATTATAGTCATATTCACATTTGCAAGAATCTCATTTAATTAAAAAAAATGCCAAAGAATATTCTTAGTCACTGATAAGTTGAATTCCTTCCACCAATGCTGCTGTTGCAAATTTCAAAGTTTCTCATCTCCCATTCATTGGGTGGTATACGGATCCTTTTATTTTTAAATCATAGAAATAACATTAACTGAAATCTGAGAAACAAGATTCACTAATCATTTTGCTTTTATTTCTGTGCACAGACATTTTGTGAGTGTAATGGCCACAGAATTGTGCTTTGCTTTTTTTTTTTTTTTTTTACCCAACAGTATCTGAATCATTTCCTTTGTGATTGCCTAAGAGAGCCATGGTTTTTAGGGGCTGTGTAATATTTCACTAATACACATGATCACTTCTTCATTTCCCCTCCTACTGAATGTTTAGATAGCTTCTACAAATGCTTTCAAAAACTTTATATGTGTCTCAGGCCTTCATGTCTCAAATCCAGAAGTGGGACAGGGGGTTCAAATATATTGGCTGAAGAAATCCATTTTTGTATGTGACAGGGTCTCACATTGATCTCAGGCTGATCAGGAACTTACCATATAGCACAATCTGGCCTCAAACTAGTGGCAATTCCCCTCGCTTCACACTCTTGATTGCTGGGATACATATTGTGTCAATAACTTCTGACCAACAGTTCTTAAACACTACTGTTGTCCAAAGTTGAGCCATATTTCTGTCACCTTTATTAAACAGTAACTGCTTTCATAGTCTTAGGACTCACCTGGAAGCTACTAGGACAGCTACCCAGGACTGGAAAATGGTGACTTGGCCTTGATACTTTTGTTGTCCTCTTTTGGTGTGCCCATTATTGAATCTCAGGTTCCTGAGAGCTGCTTGCTAATGGTTGACCTGAAGCTTGGCAGGTCCAGTATCTACAGGGTCTCCCCCACCCTTGCATATCTCATTGCCCAGTCTTGCTGCTCAAAAGTTTTCTCTAGATAAGTGAGGGAGGCCCAGGCTCTTCAGATCAACCCTCAGCCCTGGAATATGTCCTCTTGAATGTAAGGATGAAGCCTTCCTGAAGCAGACCTCTGCTTTTTGATTTCTACTCTTAACCTCAGATGGAGCAAGGTATTATTAAAATAGCAAAGCATCCTGGGCTCCAATTCAATGAAGGAGCCTGCAGGGGTGGCTTTAAAAGAACAGTCTTAAAAAGACTGGCAGACTTTGTTGCAAAGCTTTATTCAGGCACTTGTGCACTCATGCTGTAACATCAGCTAAGAACCTTACAAACCCAAAGAAAATGACCCAGGGAGCTGCTTAACGAAGGGTACTGTTGTCTTGGTCAATCCAGGATAGGGTGGACTTGGATCTTCAAAAGAATAAGGAACACACTTAGCACTTCATTATTTTCAGAGAATTGAGAAACACTTCCCAATCAATGAAGCTCTCTCCAAGCAAAACTGACTAGAAACATTTAGTGTTAACTGTTCACTCCATGGAATGTGCCTTAGTGGGGCTCAAGAGGTGCTCCCACTGATATCCAGGTGTGCCCTTGATTCTAGAACACACCATTCCTTAGACTCCAACATCTGCCCATCACGTTTCATAATTTACATTCCCAGTTACTGTCCTCTCCTTCTACCAGATTCCCAGCCTTAGGAATGCTAAAACTAGTGACCAGTGTCTCAAGACCACCGGTTCCTGGGGCAGCCCCTGCCCTTTATTTTGCAGTTCTGGGCTGACTCTCCCCAGAGACATAACTGTCCCTTGCAGAGAGTCACTAACCCCTAGGTAGCACAACTTCCCGGGACACCCCAACATCGGCTCTCGCCCCCATCCGGTTGCTTGGAAATGTGCAGCGAGCTGCGACGTCACACAGGGAGGAGGGTGCCCACTGCCGGGCGCACCAATAGCGCGGCCGCTGCTGGCCTCTTCTTCTCCAGCCATTGGTGCTCCGGGCCGCTCGGCTCCACCCCAGCCCGCCATGGCGTCAGCCGCCGCAACCCGGGGGAGGAGGTTCCTACTTTAAGAAGTGAAGTTTTCCTCCCCCTCCCCCTTCTGCCCACCTCCTGCCGCCTCCCGCGCCCCGCGGGGCTGCGGATGGAGCTCCACAGCGGCGGAGTGGGCAGCCAGGCTGCGGGCCGGAGGATGGATGGGGACTGCCGCGATGGCGGCTGCGGCAGCAAGGACGCTGGGTCGGAGGACTACGAGAACCTACCGACCAGCGCCTCAGTGTCCACCCACATGACAGCGGGAGCGATAGCTGGGATTCTGGAGCACTCAGTCATGTATCCGTTGGACTCCGTGAAGGTGAGGGGGGGGGGGGGAAGGAGCCGGGAGAGCAGCCGTAGCAGCGCGCGCGCGTTTGCATCCCGCGCAGTGCCAGCCCCAGGGCAGCGCCGCAAAGCTGAGCTGCTGGTCCCTCGGGGTGCGGCGACAGGCCAGGAGTCTCTCCCGGATCCGGCGCGTGCAGCCCTGGCTCCTGGAAACAAGCCGTGATGCTCCTTCAGAGATGCCTTGGGGGAGAGTTCCAGATCCTTCCGGGGAGCCCCGCACTTAGGTCCACGCCGAGGTCGCCGTGGACAAAGTGATAAGCACTCCGCGCACGGCGGTGGCTGTGGCTTTGAGCCTTCCACCGCGCGGGCACTACACGTGCGCGCCTTCGGAGCGAGCCTGAGGCAGGGAAGCGCTCGCTGCTCGCTCCTCGGAGAAACGTACCCCCCCCCCCTTCCTTGCGCGCCCTCTGGCCCAGGCGCGTCCCTGCTGCGCTGGGGTAGTTTAGGGACTAGGGATGAGCCATCGCATACCCCCAGGCTCAGGACAGCTCTCAGGGGGTTGGAGGGGGGATACTGGATTGGCGATACACCATGTGACGCCTCCCCACCCAATTCTACTGTTCTACTGGGAGGCAGTGGGACCTACGGGGTCGTTTGCTGTATTTTGTTTGCTGCGAAGTGGACCTGCAAACTGGTATTATACGGCTGTGGGTTGTGTAATAGGCTTCCAGTTTGACCTGGTTACTTCCTCCAGGTTAATTTCACATGCGCTTCTGTCAAGAGTCTGCTTGAACAGTTGAGATTCTTAGACCGAGAGCTGCCTGTATTGGAACTGGAGAGGCCCCGTGAGAGATACAGGAAGTAATACCTGTACCGACTTTTAGAGGTGGAACTCATCTAACACGTGGGGAGCATCCCTGGGAGTTAACATATAAATAAACTGAGGCACAAGGGAGGGGAGCAGAGGAGCTTGCTCTGAGTCTTAGCCCTGAGTCTGGGCTGCTCCAGTATGCTCTGGGGAACTTGGGGGCCTCACTAAGTGGCAGTTGTTTAAGGCTTGGGACCAGGTACACGAGCACACAAAATTGTACCTTATTGCTGATGTGGGCCCCACCTGCGCAGGTGTGGATATTTGGGTTTTCTTAGAGCTGCCAGTCAGTGACTGGACAAGCCAAGTCCAGTGAGAACAGACACCAGATAAGGCAAGGCCTGTCTTCTTCAGGTCCCGCCAGACCTGAGTCATCATTTCTGTCCCTATACTGCGCTAGAGGGGAATCAGGCAGTCCTCACTGCCTGCCACTGTTGAGGAATGCTTGAGGGAAACTTGTCTTAGCTTTTTAAATCACCTCAGAAAGACCCTGGATACATTCTATGTCAGGGACCATGGCATTAGTATAGGAAAGAACAGATCAAATGTAGTGACATTTCTGCAGTATAATGTGTCTTGGTTAGAGTCAGGGGAAAGTTAGGATTTGTTAATTTGAACAGACCCGTAGACCTGGAGATGGCATTCCATCAAAGGAACCCTTCCATCTGTGAGGCCTGGTACCTCTTCACCATGAATTCTGGTTCAAGGATCACTTTACCGCCCTTTGAAGGTTAGAAACAATTGTTGATGCCATTTGGTTTATTTGTCAATCAAGGCATTTGTCTCCTCTGTGTAAGTAATAGGCCTCATGTTTAGTTCTCCCTTGCTGTTCCCTGTGTGCTTATTCTTTTCCAAAGTGTTCCCATCTGCGGATGGACAAACGTAGGGTATGGAGAGAGAGAGAGAGAGAGAGAGAGAGAGAGAGAGAGAGAGAGAGAGAGAGAGAGAGAGAGAGAGAAAGTGAGGGAGAGAGAGATACCGTGTGTGAATTTATGTGAGTGTGTGAGAGCATATGTGTTTGTAAGTGAGCATGTGTATGCTTGTGTGAGTTAATGTAGCTATCTTGATTGTCCCAAGTATTCACTTTATGGGGCTTGCTTACAAAATGAAGCTTTTTGTTACCAGTCAGCAATTTTGTTTTTTAGGTCTGAGATTTTGTTCCTTTCTTTGGTTAGTGACCCTTGGGCTCTGCAGTTCTCAGATTCACAGGCTTGGGTGTGAAGTTCCTTTTGTATTCCCCTGCAACTTTCTTTGGGTAGCAAGGATTTCTTTCTGTCTTTTCTTTCTTTTTCTCTCTTTTTCTTGTCTCTCTATCTCTGTCTCTATCTCTGTGTCCCTGTCTCTCTGTTTGTTTCTCTGGTTTTCAGTAAAGACAAAGAAGCACAGAGAAAGTTACACCGGGCAAACTGTGTGACTTCAGCTAGGCAGTGGGGGAGCCAGAGTTTACCCAGCTCACCACAGTGGCTTAGCCTGAGGTGGCAGGGACACAATCATGCCCCAGTCATGGGAACATTTCATGTGGAGAAGACCGAAGCTGCGTCCCTCTTAAATATTTTGTATGATGAAGACTGAGTAATTGAGTCAGGAGACCTGGGTTGGGCTGGCAGCCCTTCAGCTCACTTGCTCTCTGCCTCAGTGTGCCTCCGTTTTGTTGTGGGGAAAACGGGCACTCCCTTCACCTTTAACCCATAACCCTTTCTGCGGTACACCTCTTGTCCTTTCATGTTAATTATTATAACTGAAACCAAATGCCTGTAAATCATCTTGGGAAGAAAAAAAAGGTTTTCTTTGATTCTTGAAAAGACATTCAACTTTTTTCGATTTGACCTTGTCATTGTTAAATGTGAGTGTTGAGTCAGCCTGCTTTTTCAAATGTGCTAGGATGTGTGAGTTGTGAGCTCTAAGTATGCTGAGCTCCTTGGCTTTGTGATCTTAAGTATAGTAAGAGGACTTATGGATGTTTATTGTTCTAATGCTGAAGTTGCTTTTTCATGGGATTCTGTCACCTCCCAATGCCACTTTATTGTCCAGTGTTTTTCAAACTGTGGGTTTTGATCCACTAGAGGCCTGAACATTTGAAAGACCGATTGATTGGTGGCAGTATTGTATATAAGCAGTTATGGCTTTGGTAGGAAGAAAAGCTGTTGAAGTTCTGTTTGGGTCATGTTCTCTGGAGATTGAAAAAGCACTTCTGGCCAGACCAGATAGTACATGCATTGGTTCCTAGCATTTGGAAGCTGAGACAGGAGGATGGAGAATTTGAGGTTAGCCCAAGTTCATAGTGAGTTCAAGGCTAGTCTGAGTTACCTAGCCAAACTCCATTTCCAAACAAAGTATGAGCCTCATAGAGTCTGATGGTCCACAATTTCTGAGTCCCCAACAGCAATAGCCTGCGGTTATTTAAGTTCCTATTGGTGAGACCTGTATCAATTTTTCCAGCCTTTTTCCCCTTAGTCTTCACAACCTAAGGTAAATGCTAATGCTTCATGTAAGGAGAGCCAGACAGGTGGGGCCTCTGAGTGCCACCATGATTGTAGCAACCAGCAGAGGGATACCAAGTCAGGGATCTAGGATGCCTGGGTGTCTGCAGGCTCTTGTCTAAACGTGGCTGCTCTCTAATCTGGGCTTGGCAGGAGCCTTTAACTGGTGGCAAGTGGTATGGTGACTTAGACTGGTCTGTGAGGTGGATTCAAGAGACCACGGTCAGAAGAGCTCAAGACTGTAGGGTACATGCCAGGTGGGTGGAGGAGGAAATTCCATCCAGATTAGGCAGAGACCACGCAAGTCAGCTTGGTAAGCACAGGGAAGAAAGCAAACAGGAAAGAAGTGAACTGGGGGACCTTCCGCTGACCTTTCATAGCCCCTCTTGAGTGGCCTGTCAGGAAAGCACTGCTCTAACTCTTCCTGTGCGAGCCCTTCGTCCTCCACGAGTGGGAGCAGCTCCTCAGGTGCCCTCCTGGCTGTCTTGTGGGGATGGCCTTGGCATGGCCACCACCTGGCCTGCCTTCTGGGACATCCCACAGTCCTTGAGTTTTTCTGGTTGACTGGCAGAGAGTGCTAGCAGCTGCCAGAGCCCCCATCCCACTTCCTCATGCTTTAGAACAAAGTGTAGGACAGGTGATACCAGTTCAACCTCAAGAGGCCATGAAGTCCCAACTTACTCTGCTCCCTGGAGCAAAATGATAGTGTTTCTCCTCTCTACCTGTGTCTTCCCTTCCCTGCCCTTCACTGAGAGGCACATTTGGACAGGTGGGTTATAAGCAGACATGGAGTCAAAGAAAAGGGTTCTTCCCTTCTTTTCATGACACCCCATTGCACGCTGATGACCATCTCTCTCCTGTCTGCATTCCATTGCAAAGTTGACCCCTACACATTCATTTCCCTTGCCCAGTAATGGGGGGGACAGGCTGGGTGGGGCACAAAGGTTGAAGGATAGTACCCAGAACAATAGTGAGTAGTGGAGGGGACTCAGCATTAAAAAGAAAATAAATTACTTAGTTTTAAATTATTTAAAAAAAAAAACTGATACATTAACTTTAGTTGGTTAATTTATATAGATAGAGTCTCTCGCTATGTAACCCTGCCTAACCTGGGACTCAAATTGTATAGATCAGGCTGGCCTAAAATCCATAGAGATCAGCTTGACTGCTTCCTGAGTCCTGGGATTAAAGTTGTGTGCCACCATGCCTGTGACGGAACACCCTGGCCAAAGAAAGTTGGGGAGGAAAGGTTTATTTGGCTTACATTTCTACAGCACTGTTTATCATCGAAGGAAGTCAGGACAGGAACTCAAACAGGGCAGGAACCTGAAGGCAGGAACCTGAAGGCAGGAGCTGATGCAGAGGCCATGGAGGGGTGCTGCTTACTGGCTTGCTCAACCTGCTTTCTTATTTAACCCAGGACCACCAGCCCTGCGATGGCACCACCCACCATGGGCTGGGCCCTCCCCCATCAATTACTTATTAAGAAAATGCCTTACAGCTGGATATTATGGAGGCATTTTTCTCAATTGAGGTTCGTTCCCTCCCTTCAGATAACTCTAGCTTGTGTCAAGTTGACATAGGATTGGCCAACTCCTGGCCACTTTAGCTTTTTAATATGGAGTGGCATTTGAGGTTTTAAAGTTTTTTATTTTTTATTACTGTGCATGAGTATGATGTATGAAT